AAAACACCAGGTACCAAAAAATTAAAGCACAAAAAATTAAAGTTCAAAACAAAGATAAACCCAAAGATAAACCATTTCCCAGTTTGGGAAATGCAGCCCAGTCACTGCCCAAATATGCAGGAGCACTGTTTCTCCACAGCTTCTGCAAGGAAAACCAGATGGGAGCATCTGTATACAGTGACTTTTGGAACCAATTTTCCAATTTAAATCTCAATTTCTAAGTCAAACAGACGTAGTAACTGAGCTCAGTTACTGTGGTGCTGTATTGGTGTCCTCCAACAAACTCAGTGAACGTGTACCAGAGGCTCAGGAGCTGAGATTCCTGTCCCAGTGGTAAAATATTACATTCCTACAGGTTTCATGGATATAGGCAGTAGTATAAAGGAGAGAAATCATACATTCCAGTCTGCCGTAGCACAGAAAAATTCACAGGAATTAGGGACACCATGGCCTGGCCACTGAAAAGCATCACTCAGACCTTTAACCTTATGAAACAGCAGAAAACAGAACACATGAAATACATAAGAAACCAGGTTTCAGTGCTGATATAACTGTATACCCCAAAGTTTATAAATAGCATGCTTTTTTTATTTTAAAAAAGGAACACACGTACACACTTGCATCTTCTTGCTCATACCCTGTTATTCTGGCCACAAAAAATGACCACTTTCTTTAAAAGGAAGCTGGACAACTTTGGGGTGAAGAGTAGCAGAGAGGAAACCACATTAATTGCATCAGTTTATGCACACTGGTAGGAATTCCTTCTCAAATTTGGCACTTAGCACTCAGAGTTGCCCTTTAAAGCTTGGCAAGAAATTCTCCCCAGCCCACAAGTTTCCTAATTTCGTCTAAGGACACACTGGTTCATTTGGATGCTTGACCTCCAGAAAGGCAGACAACCCTAAATGTGTCAGTCTCACCTCAGTTCACTTTGCTCCCCGTCAAGTCAGATTTGACATAAATCAAAGTAAATATATAATTAAAGCTAAACTTAAGGTCAGGTCCAAGTTCGGAAAAAACAAATCTGCATGAAATTAAAAGCAACTCTAGTAGAGTTTGAGAACTGGAGTTCAGGAGTGGCAACAAGCCAAGAGCTTTCTGAACACACCTTCTCACCTGAACCACAACCCTGGGCTCAAACTCCATTATTTCACCCTCCAACCCATCCAGGTCCTCTCTCCTCCTTCCCTTTTCCTCTTCAGGTCTGACTCGGCTTCCTGCTTCTTACTCTACGCAAACACTGCTCACTCATCCAGGTATTTTAAACGGTCTTATGGCAGGAAGGTTCCAGGAAAAATGTTATTGCACCTTTCCAGAGTCATGTTTATTCCACAAAGACTTTTCTCTGCTGTCCTGTTCCCATTTGCTGCAGCTTTTCAGTCAGTCTGGACTTTTAAATCCCTACACAAGCACCAACAGAGATATTCAGAGCACCAACTATTATGCAAGACATCAGTTCCACTCACAGTCCACTAAAATGGGGAGCTCCAGGCAGTTCCTGACTCTCTAGAGAAACCAAACACACATTTTTGGATTCCTCATATATGCAGCTGAAAGAACTGCTCAAACAGCCCCATCACAAAGGTTCTCTCTTCACCTTTTAATGCCAATTTTGAGCCTGGCTTTTATGAACCTGTGCTTAAAGACAGCAATCAACAGGTACCTGTTAGTTCTCCGACAGATCATAGAACGGTTTGGGTTGGAACAGACCTTAAAGATCATCCAGTTCCCACCTTCCACTAGCCCAGGTTGTTCCAAGCCCCATCCAACCTGGCCTTGGACACTTTCAGGCATGGAGCATTCAAGACCCCTCTGGGCAACCTGTGCCAGTGCTTCACAGGACTGGAAGGTTAAAAACTGACAGCAGACCCACAGCTGAGCTCCACCACCATGCACTCACCCCTCTGGCAGCGATCGTGTGTCCAGCAGCGCTCGATGAAAATGCCGTTTATCACAGTGGGGGGACAGTTGCTCTTCCCTTTCACGGTCCCAGGACACACATCTCCACACTCCTCCTTGTCATCCTTGTTGGCCACAATGTAGTTGTCCTCTACAGAATCCAGAATCCTTGACCAGTCGATGGTGGACAGGTAACATAACTCATTGTTCTTCTCAATCCTCACAGCACCCCGGGTGATGTTCATGAGGTTGTAGAGCCCGATCTCCTTCAGGTGAACCATCTCAAAAATCACCAGGGCGTAGTTAAAGAACAGGTGAGTCCCCCTGATCACAGTGAGGTTGGGGAAAAGGCCCTTTAAACTCTCCAGGCCATACACACGGAAAAGCAGCAAGTAGTCTGTGATCATGGTCAGCTTAGGAAAGCTGAGCTCACGGAAATCCTCTGGCTTGGTTTTAAACATCAGCAATATCTGCAAGTGGCCCTCGATCACAGTGCAGTTCTCCAGCATGTTCAGCCGGGTCAGATTGTTGCGGATGTCCATGCTCCTGCAAACTGGGAGGCAAAGGAAAACGTTATTTATTTATTTAACAGAAGCTTAATTGTTTTGAGTTTCCTAAATACACAGTTTTGTCCGACTGCACCATAACCAGGACACATGGCCCTCTCAGCAAAGCAGGCCTCAAGTGTTAAGAAATACACTGTGGGGAACATTCCCTGGTATTATGGTTACAAAATAAGACTGAAAGAGTATTTCATCATTTTTTCTGCCATTTTGAGTGTCTGTCTGTTGCCTCTGTCACGACTCAGTGGTAACACCAGTCCTGAGACATCCCTTACAAAAGGAAGAGACATCTGAGCAACTGAGGCTGTTTTCTCTAGACAGTTGCCAGCGACACACCTACCTCGTCTCAGATTGTGCAATTAATGCCAGTGGATTAGAGGGAGTAATTTAGAATAGTTGCAGGAAGGGGAAGATATGAAAAGAATAATGGCCAGAGATGGTAGTGCTTGGGAAGAGAGCAGAAAAACCTGGAAATACACAGAGGCAGGAGCACAGCCCACGCTTCTGCCCAGACTTTGCTTACAGGAGTCATTTACTACATTAGTAAGTTTTACCCTGAGCATTCTTTTCAGATGAGGTGTTGGGGCTTTTTTGCTATTATTTTCTCAAGGGTGCAAATCTGCCTGTCTTGACTACCTGGGCAGTTTATTTAGCAGAACCAGTAACCCAAAGAACTGGCAAAGTGAACAACTACATGAAGCATAAATTAGAAGGTAAACAGAACAGTAGGAATCCAGGCACCAGTAGAAGGAAAAAAAGTTTGAATAGGAAAATATTTTTGTTAACTCTAAGCACAGGTAAGAAATCAAGAAGGAAATTCAGAGCCCCACACCAGCACAGCATAACAGAACTCACAGTGACAACCCTTTTGAAATTAAACGTCACAGAAACATCAGTCAGACCTTAATATTCAAATCCAGGTGGATTCTTCATGAATTTTTCTTTTTTGAACACTGCACCCACTTAAAGGATTCTCCCTTTTGTCTAAAGCTTAAAGAGCATCTTCCCTCCCCGCTTAAGAACAAAAAGCACAGGATCTTCCACCTTTTTGTCACAGCATTTAAAGCTCATCAACTCTAAAATCACTACACCACAGCTTCAAGAGATTACCCAGCAACAACCAGGCCTTACAAAACTAATGCAGACACAAATATTTCATTGTTAGGATTGCCTGACTCCTCCTGGTTTCACACAGCCCACTGCTGTAGGGGTTAAAACCAAATTCTATGCAAATGTCTTAATGATTATTCAAAAATTTACTCCACCGTAATTAAAAAAAAAAAATATTAAATTTGGCAACACTAATGTGGGACTTGAAGCAATGCTCTTGCCCAATGGGACTTTTTGGCACTGTATCCAAGTCGTTTCATAAATTGCTTTCTGGAAGAAAAAGTGCCTCAAAGATTAGGGATGTACTTGAAAAAGCAAGAAAGGAAGCCCGATGAGCAGCAAGCAGCAACCTCTCTGTCCCAGACTGGAAGTAACTCCAAAGCTGTCCTGCTGCACATCCCACCCTGGGGCTAAAAGAACTGGGAGAGCCACAGATTCAGCTGAAATACTCTGAATATTTATTGCAAATAAATTGGCATTTCCAAGGAAGCAAGTGCATGACAGCACGGGGCAGTGGTTTCTTTACGAAAGGAGAAGTAACAGAAGGACAAATAAAACTCACTGTACAAGTCACCACAACAGTAAAACTCAGATAAATTCAAAATCCAACATCTTGGTTCTTATTTATTAGTGGTTCTCATTATTATTGAGCACACACGCAGTGCTGAGGTGGTACCCAGGGCCAGCTGCTGTCTCACAGGATAAAGTCCTGCCTGTTGGAATGTGACCTTAAGGAAGAGGAAAGGGCAAAAAATACAGCTCAGCTCTCCAGACTAGGAATTACTTTGTAGAGTAAGAGTTGCAGGCTATTGCTGTGGCTCAAGGCCATGAGATGCAGATACACACCGAGCATAATTGCCTCAGTCTTTCATCCTTTTGCCTAGAATTAGGTAAGTCACCAGGAACTGGACACAAGCTGGCCCCAGACAAGCCCTTCACCCACAGCCATCCCTGCTCAGCTCCATGGAAAGAGAACCCTGAGTTTGGGTGGAAAGATCTCCAATTCGGTACAGTCAGGACCAGGCCCTCCTGGTGCTGTGGCTGCATTTCAGGCTGTGGAGATCTTCCTATCGTCCAGGAGCAGAGCTAAGGAACTTGGTCTGAAGGAGCTATTCTGGGTGGGAACTGTTGCATCACCTCAGCACCTCAGGGTGGGTGCTCAGCACTGAGGGAATTCACGATCCTCTTTGGCAGAGGAACAGATACACACCCAGCCAGGCTTCACAGAGAGGATTATCATGGAATCACACAATGGTTTGGGTTGGCAGGAACCTTAAAGCCCATCCAATCCCACCCCCTGCCATGGGCAGAGACACCGTCCACCAGACCAGGTTGCTTCAAGCCCTGTCCAACCTGGCCTTGGACACTTCCAGGGATCCAGGGGCAGCCACAGCTTCTCTGGGCAACCTGTGCCAGGGCCTCACCTCCCTCACAGGGAAGAATTCCTTCCCAATATCCCATCTAACTCTGTCCTCTGGCAGTGGGAAGCCATTCCCCTTGTCCTGCCTCTCCATCCCTTTTCCAAAGGTCTGCTCCCATCAAACCCTAACCTGGTCTCTGCAGCCCTGGAGATCGCAGCTCTCACCACCTTCCTAAACACTCAAAACCAGTTAAATTACACTGTTCGTGAACCTGATTCAAATAATTCCGGGCTTCCAGAGATCACCACTAACATAAGCCATGCTGCTCCTGGTCCAAACAGCCTGAAAGCTGCTCAAAGATCTGCTAGCCTCCTCAAAAAATCCAACAACGTAAACACCCATGCAGGACACAAACCTCCCTCGCTTCCAGCTCTCCCCATTCCGACACGGATTCCCCACTGGAGGTGGCCAAAGGCTAAGAACACCCAATATTTTGAGATGTGTGAAAGAATAAAGGTTTGCTGAAGCTGAATCTAAAAAGAGACAGGTGGAGCTTTTGAAAAGTTAAAGAATCATATAAATCTACCAGAGCTGGGAGTACAACATCCACAGTCCATCAGCTGTTTGCATTTTACAACTATTTTGTATTTTTCACCCATTTTAAGCCCAAGACAGAATGCATTATTGGCCATGAGTGCTGCCAGCAGACTTGACAGGGGGTTCCACACATTCTAGCAAACCAGGATGTCCCCTGAGTTATCCAAACTCTGCTGCTTCCAAAGCTGAGCAGCAGCAATGGAATAATGGTCACATCCTCTGCTCCAGCACTGGGGGTTCTGCACCAGCCCTTTAGTGGAAGGACGTCAAACACTGCTGGGAGCCTCGTATGGAAACTCAGGAGCCTTTTAGAGTACATTAGAGGTTTGTTTCTGAAATAAACAACTGAATAAAAAACTAATATAGTTGTAAATCTACACAGATTAATTTGGTTTTTTACCAGTTTTTTTCCACATTGAGATAAAAATCACAGTAAACTATTTTTCATGTTCTACTTCAGTTTAGTTTTTAAGTGGTAAGTACCACCACAGTATCTGAGCTCCTTTTCTTTACCACCTCAAGTAGAATAATAAGGAATTAAGAACATCTGAGACAAAATATGTTTTTCGGTTGGCGGTTTCTCCATCTTTTCATGTCTCTGAATTTGCAGCAGTTTCTATCTCCTGTTCGTGCAGTAGCTGTTTAAGTCATCCCATAAATTTATTGTTACCAAGACAACAAGAAGCAGTTCAAAGCGAAGTAATAAGCATTTTTCCACAGCTTCCTTCAATAGTAGTTCTTCTGCAGGGACAGGGGAATTACTCAACCATTCATGATGAAGGCAAGGCAAGTTTGATCCCAGAAGATGGAGAGTAAAGTTGAGCCATCAATTATAGCACAGACAACCTGGTTTCAAAAAACACATAAATCTGTTTTCAAGGAACTAAAAATCACAAATTGATTCTCCAGTAATAGGGCCCGAAGCTACTCCTATGCAAACTACTGGCAAAATCTCTACTACACATAAATTCCTGAATTTCAGCAGAACCAGCAGCACAGTTGCCAGAGGAAGCACATCCTCCATCCCTGCTACCAAGCTACTCACGGGAACTTCAAAAACGGAATAAATCATTGTAGACACGTTCCATCAGCCTCCCCCCCCCAACACCAAGTTGAACACATGCTTTTTAAAAACAAACAAACAAACAAATCCCAAGATGCTGAAGCCTCTTGGACAAACTGGTTTGGTAACAACCTTCAAATCCTGAATAAAGAAACCAGATCTGATGTCAGAGGTTAAGTTTTCAAGATAGAGTCTAACCAGGGGAATAGGTGGAACTTAAACCTTGTTTATAGTAAATCATGTGGATACCAAACCTTAATGATTCACTGCTTCAGAGCTCTGGCCTTTAACAATAAAGACCAGTGTAATCTGGCACAGAAGGCTCACAAACCATTTGAGGTAACTATCAGTTAATTCTGCTTTATTATAGTGTTTGCTGCCTACCGAATAAACAAATTATTGGAGAAAAATCACACTCACTTTGGTCGAGCCAAAAGCTTTGCAATTCTACATAAAGTAGTGGTATTAGGAAACTGGCAAAAGGACTTTTGGGTTTTTCTTGGGATAACTGCTGAGACAGGAAAACATCCTGTTAAGTGACATGACAGTGGCAGGGACTGTAAGACAGTTCTACCTACTGCAGCAATAGCTTCATAAACATACAAACCATCTAATTGTGAAATGTGAATTTTTAAGCTTCAGTTTTGCACCTCAGACATTTAGATCTGAGCAATGAGCTGGATATAGACTTCAAAGTGAGCACCTATAAACCCCCAGCCCCTCAGGGAACATCTCAGGTGCCTGTTACCTCCCACAATTCACACTGGCACCACTGAGTTGAGGGAAAACCTCTCACAGAGGTCACCCAAAGCACAGATAAGCTCCCAGCCTGGCCTACAAAGCCTGGTTTGGGCTATCTTTATGCTCTTCTCGTTCAATTCAAAACACAAGAGAAAACAGGACTCATCCTGCCCTGTTTCCAGGCAAAGATAATCAGCAGTGAGGCGACAACGTCCCAGGACCACGAGATCACTCGGGGTAACGGCTGAAGTCGGTGTCAATGGCAACAGATCTAAAGATCCTCCTGCTTCAAAGGCAGCAGGAACAGGTTCTACACATTGCCAATATCAACATCATTTACATTCCACAAGATAGTCACCCCAAAACTGACCTCCAGAAAGCTCTGGGGTTTTACACTGCTCAGAGACAGCAAGTGCTGCCTCTCTCTGGAACAGTGAGAGGACACATTGGGACAGTGCACAGACACGGCTGGTGCTGGGTTTGGTACAGCCTTGCCCTCCTGCACTCACTCTTACTATTTTACACTCCTGGGAGCACAATTTCATTCTAGACTGAGTCTCTCAACACCAAAAATTGACATAGGGTTGAGGTGGGACAAGGGGGCAGTTTCTTAATGAGTTTCCAAGCCTTCTGTGTGAGCCAGATATAATTAAGAAGCAATCTACTTTTAAGGGTAGTACTACCGCAATACCCAGTGAAATTTGTCCCACATGATGATTTAGATGGAGAGATCTCAGTTAGATTCCCAGTTCCCACATCAGCAGCAGGTAATGCATGTGCAGCACCCAAATTTAGGGCCAAATTTTAGTTTAGAAGGGGAGGAAGTGTACTCCAAACTCTAGAGAGTGCACTGATTAGTTTTCCATTAATCACAAAAGGAGCCCAGAGTAAGTTGTTCCATTAGTAGATGCCTAAAACTAGGTGAGGTAAATCCCACCCAAAATACCACAGCTAATGAACTGACAGGCATGAGTCATGTGTGAGATTTATTTCAAGAAGCTGCATTATGTTTACACAGTGATAAAAAAATACACAAACCTGTTTTTCTTCCCAAAACAAGATGTATGGATCTTCATTTTATGCAAGGTTGGGTCTCCTTTCCTTAACCCTTGTTTCTGCTTGTGTCAGTAATTTCTGAACTCACCAACTACCTTCAGTCTCACGTAAGAGAGGAAGACAGCTCTCACACAGAGTATTCCTAAAACACTTAGGGGATGGATTGAGGAGGGAAAACTCAGTGTCTGCATCCAAAGAATGTAAATGTCAATGTAAACCACCACCTCCATTTGCCTTCTGAACCACTTACACATTCTACATGCTGCTTTCCCCCAAACTGCTGCTGTCTAAAGGGGGAAGGGAAGGGAAAGACACAGGGCACAAGGAAAACTATGGATAGGGGAAATACTGTCACTGGAAAACAGCATTATCTCGGGGCCTGTCTGTGTGAGCACTGGGCTCCAACAAAGCTGCTCTCATCAGCCCTGTCGCTCAGGGAACAATTTGTTTGCTTATGCAACTCCTGTAGGTGCATTTCCCCTCCGAGCCAGGCTGGTGCCCTCTCGGTCCGGGTTGTTTTCCATCCCCACCTGAGAGCTCCATGACCTAATCATTCCCAGAAAACTGAGTCAAGCACCACAGCAGCTGAAAACCTTTTGAATTAGGGACTTGATGGTCCGAATTGTCTGCAAAATACTTTACAAAGTATTTGAGCTGTATGAATGACATGAAAATATTCCAGCCCAGACTTTGCTTTGGAATCTTGTGCTCCTCTCCAGCCATGAACTCAAGAACATGTAGTAATCCCACCAAGTAGTAACACAGCAAAGATTATGGAGTTAAGATCATAAACACATTTGCATCCCCAAAAGCAAATATGATTTAAATAAAGAACTAAATAACATGCTTCACTGTAGCAGTAATAATAACATTTTCAAATTAGGAACTGCTGGACTCAAGCTATATATGTATTTATTTATTATTAGTGCTATATGTTAACTGCCTTCACTCCTCTGATGGTAAAGGGGCAGGTTTGCCCACATCAGTGGGACTGACCCTCCCAAGGTAACACTGAGCCACCAGCCTCCTTTAAGGTTTTGACCATAAAAACATATATGAGGAAGAAACTGGGGTATTTTTGAAATATGGAATTTGTCCTACTGCTGGAAAAAGAGGCTGTTTTATGGATAAATCCTGCTTTATTCCCTGAATACCATTCACATCCCAAAAATGTCACTGGATTGTCTATACTTGAACTGATTCTCTTGCTACCACCTTTTCCAATGGGAATGCTAACAAGCAGATTGTCTATGGGAGAGATGATCCACAGATCCAGTCAGCTGTCTTTAAATAAATATTTCCCTTTTGTTAAAAAATCTGTAAAAATCACCCCAAATTAAAGAACCTCTAATTAAAGGGATTTCCTAAGTAAGTTTATTTAAGGTAACCCACCAAAACAGCTTGTAATTCTTAACCTCGAGCCAGCCGTGGGTTTAACAAACTTGTGACCTCCACACCCCAACATCTTTACGCCCCGTTTTACGCCCCGTTTTTATTTTTTTTTTTTTTTTTTTTTTACAAGCCCCTGCGTAAACACAGACTATCCCCTCGGAGCATTCCCCCCTTTATACCTGGGGATTTGGCACCACTACCCAAAAGTGGTTAAAGACAAAACCTCCCCGTCTGGCCACACTAAACCCTCCTGAAACCGGATCCGGTTCTGAGGCGGCCGAGGAGCGGCGGGGGCAGAGGGCTGGAGAGGGGACCAGGAACGGGACCGGGGAAGGGGGTTGGGGACAGACCGAGAAGGGACCGGGGAGGGCGACCAGGGAGGAGGGAACCGAGGAAGAGACCCGGGGAAAGCGATTGGGGTGGGGGACCAGGGAGCGGGGACCACGGAGGGGAGACCAGGGGAAGGGTTCGGGGAGAGGACCAGAGAGGGGAGCCAGGAAAGGAGACTGGGGTGGGGGACCAAGGAGGGGAGACCAGGGGAAGGGTTCGGGGAGAGGACCAGAGAGGGGAGCCAGGGAAGGGGACTAGGGTGGGGGACCAAGGAGGGGGGACCCGAGGAGGGAACAGGGGAAGAAGCTCAGAGGAAGAGAATCAGGGGCAAGGGATCAGGGGAAGGAGCCCGGGGAATGAACCCGAGGAGGGGGCCGTGCCCTCCCCCGCGCCTGCCCCGGGCGCGGCCCCCGGTGACCCCCGGCCCCATAGCGGGGCCCCGCGGGCCGGGACGCGCCGTCCGCTCGCCGCCGCAGCCCTTCCCGGTGCCGTGTTCCCTCTGATCCCAGCGGCCGCCAGGCCCTCCCGAACCTGGGGGTGAAGGTGACCCGGGAGCGCTCCGGGGCCGCCGCCGCGCTGCCCGCGGGCCCCACGCAGGTACAAAGGGCACGGCGGGGCCCGCTCTGCCGCCGGCGCCCCCTCCTCTTCCCTTCCCTTCTCCCAGCCCCAACTCACTCTCTCCGCGGCCGCGGCCGCACCAGGCTCCCAGCACCACGGCCACGGCCAGCGCCGCCGCCGCCGCTCTCGCTCCCATCCCCGCGCCGCCGCCGCCGCCGCCGCCCGGCGCGAATCAGAGCCCGCGGGGCGGGCGCGGGGGCCGGGCCCGGCCGAGCATCGCCGGTGGGAGCCCCGCGGAGCCCCCCCCCTTTATAGCGGCCGGCCCCTCCCTGCCCGTGCCGTCGGCCCCGGCCCGGCGGCCCCTTTCAGCGCAGGCCGGGCTGGCGGCAGCGCCCCGGCCAGTAAACAAGGGGCTGCCCCCGTCAGCTGGGAGCGGAGCGGGGCGGCGGCAAGAGGCGGCGCGGAGCCGGCGGGGACGGGACGGGACGGCCGGGGGAGGAGCGGCGGCAGGAGCCGCACCATCAATCCATCATCCATCTCTCCCTTCATCCCTCCATCATCTATCCATCCCTCCCTCCCTCAGTCCATCCACCTGCGATCCCCGGCCGCCTATGAGACCCGCTGATGGGGAGCCGCTGTAGCCCCGGTAGCGTTTGAGAGAGTAAAACGGGGTGGTTCAGCAGCAGCATCGCGCCCTGGGTTCGAATGGAAAGAGAGGAGGTTGGGGTTGGATGTTTGGGAAAAATTGTTTCCTGGGAGGGTGGTGAGGTCCCGGCACAGGTTTTACCAGAGCAGCTGTGGCTGCCCCATCCCTGGAAGTGTCCAAGGCCAGACTGGACAGGATAGTGGAAGGTGTCCCTGCCCATGAGCTTTAAGGTCCCTTCCACCCTAAACCATTCTATGATTGTATGATCCTATCTTGCTGCCCCTGGCTGTGCCCGTGTCCCTCCTCCTCCTCCCATAAGGCATTTGGAGAGGATGAATTGCCCCCAGACCCCCCTGGACAGAGCTTGGGGTGAGGGCACTGCCCACTCACCAGCACAGAGCCCAAAGACCACTGCAGATTTCTGGTTCTTCTTCCTCTGGGATTTACCATTTGGTGCCTTTTTTAATCATCTCTGCGATGTGCTCACGCTAAGCCATGACAGTCCGTTTCCTGGCAACTTCCAGTAATTTTATCTGGCTCTTGCTTTCAGCCATTTCTGCAAGACAAATGAGTTATAAACTGTTGGAATAAAGGTTTTTTAAAATTCAAATATGCTTGGTAAATAGGCATGCTTCTTTAAAATCTTTCCCTCCCCATCTTCAGCTTACAGCAGATCTCACTTTGCTCACTCAATGGCCTTGGGGCAGGCCAGCAGTGACCAGCAGGTCACTGTGCCTCAGCTCCTGTGTCTGGACATTGAATTACACTATGGGTTTACACCCTTTAAATAATTGGTGTTACTTCTCCACATAAAGAATCATTGTAGTCGTCACAGGGCTGTGACAGAGCAGAAGGAGATCAGTGAAATCAGGGCTCCGTTGGTGTGATTCACTCCCTGACGTTGTTTGAGGTTTCCCTACTGGACAGGGCAAGGCTGAGGGCCTGCTCTGACCAGCATAAGCAAGGTTAGCTGGGATAGTACCTGTGTGACAATAACTCCATCTTGGCATTCGCAGACTATTTAAATGCTGAGATGAAAGGCTCTGCCTAAGTGGGGATGCTTTCTCTGTCATCAGCACAGCATGCGTGTCTGCACAGCACAGCAGCTGTTGATTCAGCCCTTTTGTGTGTCAGAACCGCCATCATGGGAAGGCATTTCCCCCATTTCTGTCCATTTTCCCAAATCCACACTGCTGCCTTGAGCTCACAAGTGCAGAGGGACTGGGAACATCACTCATCCTGGAATACTTCAGGAAGTAAGGGCAGTTAAGGAATGGAAATAAACAACAAAACTATGCCTTCTCTGCTTGCAAATTAACCTGCTTTATGACTGTAGGCTTTGCATAAAACAGACAGAGCCAAACATCACCTAGACAGCTCGGGCTGTGTGGAATTTATACTCTGACTCTAATAGCAATCTCTTCCTGCTTACTCACTTATGTTCTTATTGCCTTTCATGTAATAATGATATCAGCTTACACATTGGCACAGGAGGATTAACGGCTACAGATTTATTATCTTTTCTTAAAATACTATTTTTAGTTTCTAATTACTGATTAAGAACATCGGGGTGCAATCTTTCCAGCATCTTTCCCATACACTCACTGCTACATATTCATCACGCTACAGCACACTTGGTTTGCAATCAGATAAACCAACAGGAGCAATGTGGGTGCAAAGAAACTAAGCCAACACCTGCTTACTCTTTTTTTTTTTCCTAATAGCTGCAATGCAGGCTCTTCTCTCATTTCTGATTCAAGAAACTACTAAAAATCAGTAGTTTGAAATATTAAATATTGACAACAGTCACATTTCTTTCTCTCCTCAGTAGTTAAGTGTCTGCTATGAACTGTGATACTTACAACCCATGGGGGTTCAGTTCTACATCCTCCTAATAAAATAAATACAGAGAGACTTGCAATAGAGTGTATCCACCTACCTGAACCGACAGACTTATTTATTTTGGTTTGTTTCATTCCTTATTTACATCACAGAATGGTTTGGGTGGGAAGGAACCTTAAAGCCCATCCAGTCCCACCCCCTGCCATAGGCAGAGACACCTTCCACCTTCCAATCCAGGTTGCTCCAAGACTCATCCAACCTGGCCTTGGACACTTCCAGGGACAGGGCAGCCACAGCTTTCTCTAGGTAACCTGTGCCAGGGACTCACCACCCTTGCAGGGAAGAGTTTCTTCCCAATATCCCATCTAACCCTGCCCTCTGTCAGTGGGAAGCCATTCCCCCTTGTCCAAAGCCCTACTGCTCTGCCCTAAAGATGCTTCCGCAAACCAACCCAAGTGTACCAACTTCCTAACAGATCCCAGCCCCTCCAGATCAATGCTGCCAGGAACTGAAGTCCTTGGAAGCCCATCCCTGGCAGCCACATCCCTGGAGCAGGAACCCCCTTTGCAGGAATGAAAAGGGAAAGTGACTTTGTAAACCAGCTTGATGTTCCAGCAGTGACATCCTTACACTGACACAAGTGGACATGGAGAGAATATGGCTCAGCTTCCCTATCACCAGCATTTGCTGAAAGCTTCACACCTTGAAAACTGAACATATCTTTCTCTCTGTACACTGGAACCAAGCACACGTGGGTGGTTTTAGGCTGGGTGGTTTTAGTCATACAAAATAAAGTTCCTTGCTAATTAGTCAAGGAATAGTTAAGGAACACAAACTTTGTGCCCAAAAGGAGCTTTAGAGCAGTTGACTCACCAAGAAGTTACGTTGGTACCAGTTCTGTTTAAAAGAACAAAACCGCTGAAAACCAGTTCAAGAGCCAAAGTCACACAACGGGAGGCTGAGCTGAGGGCCAGAATTCTCCCTTTCTGCTTCACCCACTCAATAGTGGCCTTCTCTTAACAACAGGTTGCAACTGCCTGGGTGAAGAGTCACCCCATGACTCGAGTTGCTCTGTTTTTATTGATTTCCAGACATACTTTCCTCCTCACAAGTTTCTCACTGTGCAGAACTCATGTTATCCAGCCTCCTGTCCTTTGAAGATGCAGCAGAGTTGCTGTTGAAGCCAACAACAGCCAAATCTCTACATCACTGGCAGGATGTTGCTGCAAAGGTTACAGAATTGACTTCTTGGTGACTAAACCTAAAGCTGAGAGTACAAAAGAGCTGACCTTGGAAAATTATCTCATCCTGTTTAGAGTCAGACAGAACCATTTGCCAAATCTCTCAGTATAAAATATTTCACGTCACGGATTGACAGAGTTCCTTTCTTACCCTTCCTTCCGTCCACACCAAATCCGATAAGTGACTTTTCTTTCCTCGATGGGAGAAGGCTCAGAGGATGGAGATCCGGTCACTTTACATGCTAAGGACACAAGTCCCAGCTTTTTTACTATTGAAACAGGAAACACTGTCAGATCCTTCTGGAGAATTCTATTGTTACATGAGCAAATAAAACTTTTGGCCAAGGTGAAAATGGCAGAGGGCATCTCTCTGCTACATGCAGGTCAAAGACCCTGGAGATGGAGGATGCAAAGGAAATCACAGTTCTCCATGGCCAATGGCAGCACTGCCTTGTTTTATCTATTTTTCGTCCGGTTTCAGGGTTTGTTCAGTTTGATTTTTGGATGCCACAGAGGCAGATGCAATATTAGATTTACTTTCCATTCCTTGTCAGAACATTTTGATCTAATTCAACATCAAACTTTTCAACTCCAAAGAACTACGTGAGCGGGGCCCAGATGTGAGACAGTCAGACAGACTGTCCTAATCCTCCATCCTTCCCTACAGCTTCTGCCCTACCCTGAGCCAGCCCCACGTGTGGTTTGCACAACCTGCTGCCAGGCACCCTGTTCTTTATCAGCCACCACGCGTGAGGCAGCGGCTGCAGCCGTGTCACCCACTCACAGCGCAGGCACACTAGGCTCCAGGACACCCACTGCCTACACCAGTTCTATCCACAGCTCAACCCCTCCTTCTTTGGTTCTGTATTTCCTTACACGTTTTTGTTGATCTAGAGTCTAATTTGGAGTGATTGATGGTCCTGCTGGCAGCGGGGATTCACAAACCCTTGGTGCTCCTCACTGCTTTAGCTCACAAGCTGCATTTTGGACAACAAGAACTCCCAGTTCCCGTTTGATAACCGGTTTGTTCTGTCGCTGGGAGACACGCCCTCTCTCTGTAAATGTTACAAATCAGGCATATCTGATCCATTATTCACTAACTGCTGCTGCTTCCCACTTCCAGCTCCTATTAGAGGGAGCGCTCATGCCAGAAATGTCACGGTGGCATCATGTGACAGGTGGTATTGATTTAGGTCCAGCGGGGTTTAATGTCACTCCTGTTCAGTGGGACACAGGGCGAGAGCACACGGAGCCTCAGCAAGGGGGCAGGTCAGGGCAGGAGCTCCCAGCCAGCCCCTGCACAGGCTGCAGGACTCAGGAATGGCCTCAGGCAGGACTCTGCTGCACACCAGGACATTTGAGGATCTGTTCCCAGCTGCTACAGCATTGTGGTTACATTTTTCTTCCCAATTCACAGAATCCCAGAATGGTTTGGATTGAAAGGCACCTTAAAGCTCATCTCATTCTACCCCCTGCCATGGGCCGGGACACCTTCCATCAGACTAGGTTGCTCCAAGCCCCATCCAACCTGGCCTTGGACACTTCCAGGGATGGGGCAGCCACAGCTGCTCTGGGCAACCTGTGCCAGGGCCTTACCACCCTCACAGGGAAGGATTTCTTCCATAAAAGAAACTAGATTGCAACTATTAATCACAAGACTCAATTCTGAGCTTTAATGGCACGTTTAGAGCACACAATGAGAAGGGAGTGTCACAGTGAACAGTCAGGAGCAGAAACCTGCTCTTGCCCACTCCCTTGTTTTCACTCTTTACAAGATGCTCCCTTTTGGCACAATAGCTGCCAGTTCAGGAAAGCTGCCCACAGCCTCCCAAGTCTGGTGCACAGAAACTGCAAAGCAAACCCCAGGGAACACGTGCCCAAATCAAGCTGGGACTGCCCAGCCACAGGAGCCTTCATGTCCAGCGTTCTGCTCCTGCCATTCCAGCCTATCACCTGTACACAATCCTTCCAGAACATCCAATCTGGCTGGGACTGAGGATACTGCTTAAACACTGATCATTTTAACACACAGTCTCTGCCACGAAGGATGTTTGCCAGAAAAGCTTAGACTGACCCAGAGTTACCATTGCTGCCAGACTCTGAATCAGTGCATTCACCGGTCTGATGTGACCCAAACCTCCAAAAGATTTTTAATTTCGTTTTCCTTGCTGTCTCAAAGTACGTAGTCTGCCAAGAAGCCAAGAAGGGCCCAGCCCTGTGCCTGATAAACATCTCTCCATCTGGATTTCCCAAGCTTTTGGGAAAGTTAGGCAACTCTCACAGAGAGCGATTTCTATATATAACATTATTCTGTGGAGAGCAGCACATCAGAGCCCCGTGCCATGGAATGGAGCTGGAGCAGCAGAGCGTCCACCCCCCCCCACAGGTTAGTCAAAAATAAAAGTTGTCATTCATCTGGGAAATGTCACAAAGCCTTGAGTCATTGTTTATTCTAAATACTACCGGCACCCATCTTCAAAGTGGTGTTGAATTACTGTAATTGCTAAATGAACTCGAGAGAAGCCAAGACAACGACTCCGTGTGCAGGGATCGCCGGCTGCTGAGACAAGGGATCCGTTGGGATTGGGGCAGAAGGGAACATTCTTCCATCCAGGTAGAGAACCCCCAGGAAGCAGAGGCTCAGTGCTTAACGGTCACTCGAGATAACAAAAGGTGTTATTAGTCACAGGGTTCAATCCTGGCAGTTCATGCTTCAAAATAACAAACACCCATGAAGCCTTAACGGTCAAAAGTTAAATAGTTTCTGAACTCACTCTGTGCAGGCTTCTTTGTAAAGCAGCTCCTATGACTTGGAGGGGTGGATGTTTTCTTGGAGACAAGCTGTTACTGATAGTTCCCTTTCAGGTCTTTCCAACTGAGCTCCTAATTTCTAAGTGCCAAAAACTACAGGCAACACATGGCTGATGACAATTCAGCTTTAAACTTGTCTGCCATGATGCACCAAATCTTTTGCAAGCTAGAAAAAAATAATTTATTTCAAGTAATAAAGAAGAAAATGTTATAGACCGTGAAGCATTAATGTTGCATCCCAAAAAATCTCACACACAAAAAACATTCCAGCACCACATTCAGCCTCTGAGAGAAGAGCTCGGCACTGAAATGCCTGCAGGGAAAGTAGTAAACAATTAGAACTGAAAAATAATTTGATGACACAGCATTGACTAATGAAGCACAGTGAAATATCAAACGTTACAGTGGAAGAAAACAACTGGGAAAAGTAGGAATGTCCATAAATTGGTTGTTACAACTATAAATCTCTATAATAACGTTCGAGGTAAGTAACGAATTTGCTTGAAGGGGAGCGTATCACACAGATTTCTGAGTAGCTGGACATAAAAAGCTGTACTTCATATTATATTTATTAATTTGATTCTGTAAGTGAATGGTGCAGTAAATACCAAACATCCTGTTAAATGAACTGAAATACTTTTGTGTAAAAAGTGTTAACTTTCCTCATTACCACAGCTGGGTTTCAACAGGACAGAGCACAGCTCTGACACACAGCCTGGTGCTTTGGGATGTGTTCAAAGAAAACCCAGATTTTCATGAGAACCAACAAACAGTTCTTTCCCTACCTTTTCCTGGCCTGGGGCTGCTGGGATCACCAGCCAGGCCTGGAACACCCCATCTGGTGGTTCCTAACAGCAACAGAAACGGCCAAAGCACACCCGGGGTCACCTGGTGCCCTCCCCTCCTCCATGGAACACACCTCACTCCTGAACACGGACCCTTCCCAGAGGGGGACTCCATGAACACCAGCACAGCTGCAGAAGGGTTTGCTTTCCGCTTACGACAAGTGCCTACAAAGACTCTTACACTGTCACATAAACCTTGCTTTACTGCAAGCTCTACGTTTTTCTAGCAATACCAGTGTTTTAAAAACATTAATTCTAGTTTATCTGTTTTACTGTAGTGAACCCTTAAGAACACGCTTGACAGGAACACTCTTGACCAGAATGATTTGTCTCAAAAAGGAAAGGCTAAGTATTTTTTTAATTATTACTTCCATCTTGAAGACACCACCTTCCTTACACCCTCATCTTAAAGTGAAAACATGTTTGCACAGGTGAGGTCTGTGCCACCTGGGGTTCTGTGTTTACAGTTCTGTGGTGCAAGGTCAAGGTGTACAGCGTCAACATAACAAGGAGAAGTGAGAACATTTGCACATACAAAAGGGAAGCAAACATTGCAACAGCCAGCAACTCCAGACCTATAAGTCTAAACTGGAAAAGATTGTGAAGTCCTAAGTCCCAAATATCCATCTGGGAAAAAGGTGAGCCTGAGGTTACCTGTTGATAACTCTGAATCTGAGCCAGGCAAGCACCTCAATGGCAGAATTCTCTTCCTGCCCCTTATTAAACATCCTGTTGGCAGCAAGTCCTAGGTCAGTACAGAAAAGCTGTGCAGAAAGAGTGTAAGACTCCACCTGTTATTTATATTCATATTGACTAAACGCCTTTTAAGAGTTGTAACATTTACCACGACCACATTAAAAATGACTGTATGTGTCCATTAAAGACCTTGTCAGCAGCTCCATGTAAACTCTCATCAGCAACAACAGTCACCAGGTAAGAAGTAGCCAAGTATCCAAGTGTGGAAAACCTTCCCCATGAAATCAAGCCTGCACAAGGAAGGAAGGCAAGGGTAGGTAGGCCTTGGACAGCCTCTTTAAGGACATGATAAGTGGCAAAGATATTGACTGCTGACAGTTCTCACACCACCTGAGTTTTCCAGCTGCACTGCTGGCAGCTTTAAATGAAATAAAAAAGCATCATTTTAATTTGGGGAAAATCCTGATGAAGAGAATCATGCTGATGAATATAAAGCAAACTACAATTAACATTATCCACAGCAGCCAGTTGACCGATTTCTTTGCGTGCTGCTCCAGGCGGTCGGATTCATCCTTGAGCTTCTCAAAGTTCTGGTCTGCCATCCTGAGGGAATAGGACAGTGTCTGTGGAGCAAAGAGAGCAAACGGTGTCAGAGTCAGAGCTGCATGTGCTGGCTGACATTTCCTCCAACAGAGGAAACGTTCAACCACACACAGCAGCAGACAGGTATTGCCTCCAGTCTCCCCACTCTAATAACACCTGGAATCGAGTTATAGGTACAGAATTTCACTTATGAGCACTTTAACCTCCTGGGTTGGAAAGTTGAGGGGTTACAGCTTCAAGGTGTGCTACCTGGTTGTCCTGTTTGATCACGTTCTGTGCAGCCAGGGTGTTGTTTTTGAGGCTGCGAGCCAAGCTGAGCATTTCCTCAGCCAGCTTCTCCTGCATGTCCTGGTGGTGCTGCAGCACAGCATCCAGCTCCACTGCCGACTGCTTCTCATCTGATTGGAGGCCTCTGCAAGTGCACAAGGGGAAAAAAAGGGATTTATACTTCCCTGTGGGTCAATCTCCCAAGGTTTCCTCGGATTCTGCAACTCTACAGTACAACACGGCCAGCTGGATCAGTTGAAGTCATTACAGTTTGGTTTCTATCAGCCAACACTTCACCCAAATCAAGGCATCTGGGATTTAAAGACCATTGGGAAAGTAGTTTCCAAAATGCTGAGCATTGGAATGAGAAATTTTAACTTACTTCCTCTTCCTTATGTTCAACTCCTCAGAATCTGGGGAAAATTAAAAAAAAACAACCAGTTTAATTCATGCTTTAGCACCTTATAAATTCCCATGCAATCACAGGCTGAAAAAACAAGTCTGTAAGGGATTTTCATCTGTCCAAATCCTACCTGGCCTCTGTCCTAAGGAATATGGATGTCAAATGCCTACCTACTCTCCGCAGGGAAAAGAGGACACGTAACATCAAAAGAGGGAAAAAAACCCCCAGATGAATCACATCCCTGAGGACAGGGTTTAAGCCCTGTGTATCTTAGTGTTTTTTCAGGACAGGTTAGATTGGCCCAGCTCCAGCCACTGTAACAGTAGCCATGGAAACTACAAATTAATTCCTCCCAGTTCCCTACATGAAAAACATGGCTGTGTATTCCAGAGGAACCACCTACTCCAAGAGCCCAAAATCACATGATTGGCTCAAAGCAGAAGGGAACAGGAGCAACAATAAAGGTAAATTGTCCTTGCTAATTCTGTAACTAGAATGTCTGTTTTTGTACAAATTCTACAAAAAGAGGTTCCTGCAAGTCCCTGCTACCATTGATAACACTTCCGCTTTCATCCGGTTTTCATTTTGTGTGTTTTTAAAATCTATACTGAAAAAAGGTGAGCCACTAAATTAAAAAATACACTTTGGGCAATCTCTAATACCTGACCTTCCTCCTCCTTTCCCTGTAAGACTCAGGTTGACTAAAGTTAGAAAAACAACACATCAAACTCACCATTGATAGCCAAAGGGTCCTGGGAGGCAGAAAGAAAACCAAAACAGCAGATTACAAAGGGTCATTGGTAAGAGACAGCCCTGCAGGCCTGGCACAGTGCCTGTGTCCAGGATTCAGACCACCCAAACTGGAAAAAAGGTGACTCCCCACCCAGGCTGGGACACATCTCAGGCACAGTCACCCAAGGCAGCTGAAGGCAAGGACAATCTGTAAAGTACCAGCAAAGCAGCAGCAGCAGCACCAAACCTACTGTACCAAGCAGCTCACTCCTCATCTGGCCCGTGCAGCGAGCCTTGGTCTGCAGATGGACTGTTTTGGTTGCTGGGGTTCTCTCCTTGGCTGTTGTGGGGGTGCGCCCGGGGGCCAGGAACTGGTTTGCCAGAGCCTTCTCTGTTGATGAGGACTGTGAGTGGGAAGGAGCAGTGAAAAGTCACAGATGTCACAGTCTGCAGCGTGAGGCACCTGGGTGCGTGATCACCCTCATCCTTCAGCAGCACTGACTGTACCCCATGAGCTAAAATCCAGCTTAGTGGTACTTCCCAGCTCTCCAGGTGCACACAGCACTATCCAGAGAGGTGTCAGGGCTGAAGGACAGTGCCTGCCCCTGCATCTCATAGCTAAGGAGTGAGAAGCATGCAGGCAAGCTGTACTTTGCTTTTGAAAAGGAGGAAAGAAGATTCAGATTTCATACAATACCTCCTTTTAACAAAACCTAGACCCAATACATTTATTCACAGTTTTACAAGGACTGCCTAGTAAGACTTTAACAACTATTATTTTAAGATACAAAATAAAGGCCAACAGGAACTAAGCAATAAGATGAAATAAGCAGAGAACTCTGAAATCTTTTCAAGCTGAACTAGTAGATCTTACCAATTTTTCAGCTTCTAGAAGTCCCTTTAGGAAGTCCACTTTGCGAGAGTATTCATTCAGCAGTTCTGGGGTTGGCTTGCTATTGGAGTTGAAAGATAACCAAGAAACCCAAAAGTTACTGGCATTTGCTACTGTTCAGGTGACTTTCCAAATAAAATAAGACAGAAAAAAACAACACATGGTTCTTCAAAGAAGCATCTTTAACAAATGTAGCCTCAGGATAGGAACACACTTGCAACCCCTTGCAAATCACCTTTTCCAAGACAAGGAGAGCTCAGAGCACAGGTATTTCCACAGGGAAGAATATACTGTGGTGTTTGTGGGCTATGGCAACTTACAGATAAAGATTACTATTGAATCACAAAATCATTAGGGTTGGAAAAGACCTCCAAGATCATCAAGTCCAACCTTCGACTGAATCCCCCCATTCCCACTAAACCACATTACAAAGTGCCACATCTACTCTTTCTGAACACTTGAAAGGGATGGTGACCCCACCGCATCCCTCGGCGGCCCGTTCCAACGCTTAACCACTCTTTCGGTGAGTAATTTTTTCCTAATATCCAACCTGAACCTCGCCCGGCACAACTTCAAGCCGTTCCCTCTAAACCACAAAACCACAACGGGGACCCAGGGACTCAGAGCGCTCACCTCGACTGCTTCTTCAGCTCCCGCAGCATGTCCTCGAGAGCAGCCACATACTGAGGAGAAAAATAAGGCTTTAAGCGACAGCATTAAGGAGAAACATCCGGTGTGGCAGAGGCAGTGGGTTTAACACCACGGCGAGGGTTACAGAGGGGCCGCCCCGCGGTGCCGCGGGACGGAGGGGCTGGGCGGCCTCACCTTCTCCAGCCGCCACTCCTCGGGGTCCCGCCGCTCCGCCGCCAGCGCCTCGCACCGGCTCAGCAGCCGCATCAGGTTCAGCTCCAGCCGCGTCGCAGCCATGGCGGCACCGGATCCTCACTCAGGCTCCGCTCGCCATCTTGGGGCGGGGCGAGGGGCGGGAAGGGAAGTGCCGAGCGGGCGTTACCGCCCCGGTTTATTTAAAAAAAACACCCCCAATCAACTCGAAACTACCCCTCAAAAGCAACCCCTGCGCAGGTGCACAGGGGCGGCTGCAGTTCGGGGCGTTGTGGTGGCTGAGCTGAGCTCTTCCCTCACCCCAACGTGGCGCAGCCCCATGAGGGGCCGGGGCACAGAGGCGGCTTCAAAGCGATAATGAACGATGGCCCCTCGCCCTCAGATGTGTCCCCGCACACAGGTGAGGGGTGGGGAGGATGAGGCAGCGCCATGCTGGCTTGTGGTTCACTCCAAGAGCACCAAAACCCTCCCCGGTGCCACCAGAGCCTTGCTAGTGCTTCCCCCATGCAGAGCTTTCCCCATCCTTTATCAGTACTTCATAAAGGCAGCAACACCGATTAAAGGCTTCCGTCGGAGTGAACTGCTCATTAGACAGACACTGATAAACTAACACGTGTATTTTTTTAAAAGTGCAACGTTTTAATAAACTTCTTTATACATTTTGGTCTCAGTTAAGGCTATTACATTAAACAGTTCTGTAAACCACACAGAAAATTGTCATAAAAAAAATTAAGGCAACACACATTGACCTAAACTCACTGTTGGTCCCATGAGAGTCCATTGTAAGGCAAATGGAAAAAGGCACAGCAGTGGAACTGGGGGGGCTTGTTTCCTGTACACTCAACCCACATATTTTACTCAGCATTAAATTTTAGCTTTTTTGCAAGGTTTTAATTTAAAGTGGAAAATATTTGCTTTAAACAACCTTGCTGAACCTTTACAGTACTGTACATTTCCAGGTTGCCTTCCTGGCAGCCACTTAAACACAAGTTTACAGCCTTCAAAGGGTTAAAGCCAAAAGCTGTGGTCAACTTCAAAAAAAGTCCAGAGAGCTGAATTATTTCACTTCTCCATACAGGGAATGTGAGAATAAGGATCTGAGAACCTCCGTTTGACTTTTGCAGTTGGTTCATATTCATCCACGAGTTCCTGAGTGTGGGCCAGTGCAGACCCTTGTGCAACGTATACCGAGTGGATGCTGTCAGTCCGCCTTGCTGGCTGCTCCCTACGTCTCACCACCTGAGACTCCTTGTTAGCAGAAACCCCATCCTGCGATTCTGTACATTTGAACATCCCAGGAGGGAGTTTTATATTTGCTGTTGGCATCACTGGAGTTCGACGGGGCACTTTCATCTTGGACAGTGTTAGAGAGTATCTGCGCCTTGAAGCCAGGGATGCAGAGTAGGAATGTGAAGAGGTTTGTGGGAGAGAAGGCACTTTGCAAATGTCTTTGGCAGGCAGGCTGGAGCTCTGAGCACGGCAGTGTAATCCAATAATTGCTTTACAGAAACAAGACACTTAGAGACTGATAGCAGTAACTTGATACAAGCCACCATGAGCAGATAGCATCTGCTCACCTGGCTGTATGTAGCAGAAGATGGAGAATAAAAAAAAAGCACACACTACCTTAATACTGACCTTCGGTATCCATCCGGCCTGTCCTATCCTCAAGCAGGCTCTCTGTGCTTGCCGATGTCTCCGAGTCCACGTTTTCCTCGTCGGAGCCCCGCTGGTCAAGCTCAGGTAACCGGTAAGTTATGTCCTCTCTGCATCAAACACAGGCAAGAACACTCAACCAAGACAACGTCTCTAACACGAGCTCGTGTTCAGAGGCAAAGTATGTAGTCATTAAATATTGATTCTCATGGTATTTTCTCTCAGCTACTCCTTTTTATTTTCCCTTTCCCCTCTACAGAACAGAATTAGAACCTTTTGGACAAAAAGTATTCTACTTTTATGCTACCCAGGTGAAGGGGGACTTACTTTTCTTCTTTTATTGACTGTATGCGATCGATGAGAATCTCCTTTTCCCGGTTATTGGCTTCAGAAACTTCTTCATCTTCATGCACCGAGTCCAGCTCTGAGGTGCCACTGTCATTTCCTTTGACCTGAGAGCTTTTACTCTGCAAGACAAATTCATGTGTAACACTTCTCAGTTACAAGCAGCTACACAAGTCTTGGACTGCAAGTTTCAGAGTAGAAGACAAATGAGTAGGTCAAAGGAAAGGCTGAGGGAATTAATGAAGAGCTGTTAGTTATCCATACAAACATTTCAAGGAGAAAGAGAAAATCTCCTATTTACCTGGTTTCTGGGGCTTTGTTACCTTTTTTGATCTGTCAGCCTCAGCTTAGTTTTAGTAGCCACTTATAAGTAATATTATTAAATCCAATAAAAGTTACATACAGTGTCTATAAAATATCAGGTGAGGACAGAACAGGCCAGCAGCCCTGCATGCAGTCTGGGGGTGGGAAGTTGCACCAATACATGCAGTCTTGATTGTTTAAAACAGTGTTTAAAACAAAGCTACAGCATGTGTAATAAGTATCTTAGTCATGCAATAGTACCATAAGAAAAGCCCATGCACTACACCCAGGGAGTTGTACGTACCAGCTTCCCCTCGTAAGGGGAAGAGAACCCAAGTTTTACAGGCCAGAGCTAGAGAGAGATGGAGACCAAATTAACTATATGCCGCTTCTGATCAGACACAATTTGGTTGGTTTTAATCAGTACAACAAAAACAAAGAATAAGTTTATTTGCCCCACTAGAACACAGCATATTTTTGCCCACCAGTCATCTCTGGAGTGAAGGAGCTCCTCTGCCATGTCAGAGACTCAATCTTAGTTCTACTGATGAAATTATATGGGAATAGATTTTGATCACTGCAAGAGCAGATCCCCACACCTCTGCACCCTTCATTTATCAGACTCCAGTCCAGCTGTATATTTAGCTCCTACCTACAGCTCCTTGGGCAAGTCCTACTTTGGGCAAGTCCAAATCCCTTTTCTTCTTATCTTGCAACTGATTTTTGACTTACTGAATGAGATGGACAGGATAAATAAGTAGTACTTCATTTCCCAAAATCTGGTGGGATGATGGGTTTATTTCAATACTTACTGTATTCTGCCGGAGCAACGAGAGCCGTCGGAAAGCAATGCTCTCTGCTGCCTCCAGCTGATTGATCTCATCCATTTTTATCTTGTACTTCCTTATCTGTTCCTTTATGAGCATCTCTACACACCTGGGAAAAAGGGCAAGAGCATATTGAGCAGCCTCATACCATAAAAGCTCTGGAACAACCATGGTGGGATGAGATGCCTCTCCTAGCCTGGGGGTGTTTATCACACACGAAGTGTCCCAATGCATCCCCTACAGGTGGCACTGCAGGGTGACAGGGTGGAGAGTCCAACACAGCAAGCAGAACAGGACAGGTAATGGTTAAATGCAATGGCATATGTTCCTTCTGGGATAACCAGAGCCTCCTACGCTGACTGTACACAATGGTGAGCAGACAGACATTACCAGGGCTGCCAACAGCTTCTGCTGCTTCTACCTGTCTTCCCTGTGCTGGCACAGAATGAATCTGCAACTGCCCTTTTCCACCTCTGTGGTCAGCAAAAAGTTACAAAAAGCTGTCATTTTTCAAACTCTGTTTCCACTGGAGGCAGATGCACAGCGAGGGGCACTCAGAGAGCCAGAGCTGCTGGAGGGTGAGAACAGAGAGGATCAAGGACAGAACCTTCCCCAGTTCAAGGAACAACGCAGAAGAAATTATCAGGGAGTTTCATGTATACAGGAGACAGCTTAACTCTATATCATACTGTTTATTATGGCTCGTATTTCAGCAAAACAGATGATTGATGTACAATCTGCCCAAAAGATTATCTTGATGTAAAACACAAACCCGATATTTAAGACTTCTAAGTCATCCTACTTCATGCTTTGTGAACTGGAGACAGATGGAAGTCTGAGAGGGGCATATAAATTGGCAGCACCAGCAGAGCCAGGATTCAGCAACTCTTAACCCTCAGTTTCTCAGCTTGATAGGAACAAGGTCATAACAAATGCAGGCAGTGGTACTGGCCTTCCATCCCACTCTAAAGTACTTTTTTTGAGAAAGTACTTTTCAGCAGACTGCTAAAACTTACATGGTTGTTTTTGAAACGTCCTTCATGCTGGTTAAGGGGTCAGAGGTATCCGGACAGCGCAGGAGGCATGGAGCAAACACAATGGCCAAGGCATTGGGTGACATACGGTTGACATCTTCTATCAAAGCCACTCTGAAATTGAACATTCAGGAAAAGAGATTTTAAGCAAACCTTGCTAGAATGCAAGCAACATGATCGCACCTTGCCAGAGCTCCCAAATAACACACAAGGAGGCCTCTCAGGCACTCAGTGCATATAGCAGTTCAAAAAAATACATTAAAATTATTTCACACAAGTAGACAAAATTTTGTGCATCAGAAAAAGGACCAGGGAGTCATCCAGGTTAAACTAGTCTGGTAGCCTCCCAAAGTATGTCTGGTGATTCAGTGTTTCATCTCCAAGAACCATGTTCAGAGGGCACTTGGAAAATCCTCAAGTTCCTTGGATAAGAGCAGCCTCTTTTCCAGCACCATTAGTCCCTGCTCCTAAGGCTCACATACGTTCATCCTTCATTACGTACTATCTGTATAAATCCTGGTGTTCAGATGATTCACCAAGACTGTGAGATCTATCTTATCTTCAAAGTTGTTCTTATCCGATTTGATCCAAACACACGAGGTTGTAGAAGTCACCCCGTATCTGTTCTCAAGCACAACTATCAACTTCAATTCTTTCATGTCTAAACCAGCAGCACAAGTCCTACACTAACACTTAAGGAGTTTAAGACTTTAAAAAGCTTCCAAGAAGCACTTAAGAGTCACACAGTTTCTCTACAAATGAAGTAATTACACTCATTACTTGACAAGATGGAAGATGAGTCGCTCCAGGGTATTATGATTTGCTTGTGGGAGCTGTTCCAGGACACTGTAAATGGCACAGAGTTGCTCCTGTTTTTCTGGTAGTTCTGCACAAAGGGAGAAAGCACAAGGTGATAAATGCTCTGCAAGGCTAGTGGAAATTTGCAAATTCTTAGAAGTCTCACAGTCATTTCATTCACCAACTGTTATAATTGAATGTTAAAGCACCCCTGATGGCACTGCAATTGTCCTGCATTTTCAAATGCTGCTGCTGTTAAACATCAAGTGACTGATCAAGACCTACAACAATATTTAGGATGCCTTAATCCCACTGAAGTTAAAAGAATTTAAGGATTTGGGATATCTGGATATTAAGATCTGGTTTAGACCATCAAAGAGGAAAAAACACGCATGAAAGGCAACTTATTTACAATCTCACTGTTTACAGAAAGAGCAGCTGTATAGTGATATTAAGCTACAATCCCTCCCCCCTCCAAAAAAAAGGAATCTCGAAGCAAGATGAAGTAAGCTAGAGGAGAAATTCCTTGAAAAGTGTTTTATGTAAAATGTCTAAAAACCTTGCCATAACTGCACTGGAAGGAGCTGTTTATCCAGCATGAGCATCTTAAGAGTTTCTTCTCCCAAGAGCATAATGAGTTAAAGAAGAAATGTTTAAAAAATTACTTTAAAACCTACCTACAGCTCGGAGGAAATCGTTGTACTGTGCTGATGTCATCAGTGGGTCTGGCAGCTCCCGCAGCCACTGCTTAAGGATCCCCGTGATGGTGTGAATAGGGTAATTCTCCAGCTTCACTGAGTTTGGATCTGAAGAGGAATGTTTTATTCTGAGCAATTCATTCCGCCCTACAATTCAACTCTCCCATTCACAGAATCCGAGTGGCAATTCAGAAGAAAAGAAAACAACAAACCAACAAAAGATAGTAATTTAGAGGTACTAAGCAGCTTTTGGCAGCCCACAAAAATACTACAGCCTGCATGGTCACCAAAAAGCTGTTTTTAAAACACCAGAATGTGTCAGATACTTTCAGACAGAAGAGAACTGCAGGGAAAGCTGATACCACAAGGAAGTCCAAAGGGTGGACAAGAGTGCCTGACCTGCTTGCAGCAACTGTTTGAGCTCCTTCATCCGATTTGCTGACCCTGATTTCCTGTAGATCCCCTCCGTGTAGAGCCCGTGCATCTCCACGTACTCTAGCAACTTCTCCATGACAACAGGGACCGAGTTCCTCTCACTGGTCAGGGAACTCACACTCACTCCGAAGTGTCGCGGTTCTGCATCCTGCTCATTCTGGAACAGATACAGGCCAAGTACTGTGAATCCTGTTCCCAAGCTAGGAAATTCCACTGTTTCACGCTACAGTTATCTTATGCTTCCAGAAACTAAAGCTGAGTGTTTTATTCTAGCTTGCTACACGCAAGGCATAAGGCAGATTTCCTGAACTGCAGCAATAAAGAACGCTTATGGTTCACACTGAAGGATTTCTTTATCAGTTTGTCCAACACTGCACACACACTCTGAAAGAAGAGTTCCCAAATTAGCTCAAGCATCACCTCTTAGAAGAATGTTCTGCCTCTGCACGTGCAGAGCTGCACCTGACTATATGCAGAGAAGGGAATTTTTATTCAGTGCCTGGATATCCACTGTTCCTTTGCTGAGAAACAAAGGCAGCGTTTTGCATGCAAAACTTATGGTACCACAGAACCCCGTGCCAGATCCACAGGCCTTACCTTTTTCCCACAGGAAGTACAGCTGCTCTGGATTTTGGACATGCACTTCTTGTGACAAGTCAACTTGCAAACTAGAGAGAAAGAAGCAATTGTTACAAGCATCCAAATCACATTAAAAAACACATTAGCATCTTGTTTTATTCACTGCCTATATAAACCACATGTACTGTTCACTAAGGCCCATCTGCAGCAGCCAAAGTTACAAGCAGTTTGCACATATAGTAACCTAAGCAGGAAGGCTGAGGGGTGTTTACTCACCACTGCACAGACAGGCTTTTTCCATGGGCCAGATGTAGGATGAGCAGTGCTCACACGACTGCCGGATGCTCACTTGATAGTTTGTGAACACGTGGCCGTTGTGTTCTTCGGTCTGGTGGGAGACAGAAAGGAATTAGTGAATTTTATTGCCTTTTAAAAATTATTATTATTTTTAATAAAACCATTTACCCTGTATCAGATTTTCCACTTTATTTTACAATTACAACTGAAGGCTTTGAACTTGAAACCAAATTTCGCCCTATCTTAAGGCAGTTGGGTTTGCTGGATCATTTCATAATTGGCTTGCTGCCTTAAAAGTTCATCAGTGCAATACATGAGCTCTAGCTTGTTGTTACTATTCAATAACTGTTTTAAATAGTCCATTATTGAGAAAGCCATTGGCTTCTAAAAGGTGCTATGGACAAGCAAGAAAATATTTGAGTACCACCTATCACTGCATAAAAGCAAGATTTCTGATTTATGGAGAACAGTTTTATATCATGTCACATCTTCATAAGAAGTAAGTGAATTAGTATGCAAAATAAAACAGAATATCAGTACAAAAATCAAACTCTTCCAAGGATGTTTGTGTTCTGTGAGTGCACCTGAGGACTTGGACTATTGCAAAAAAAAAGTACTCACTGCACGATCTTGTTTTCGTTTCTTCTTCTGGGCTTTGGTTTGCTGCAGCAGGATACAAAACCGCTGTTAGTCTTTGAAATTCAGATATTCCATTCCCTTTTTTTGCTATTGAGTTTCCCAGGCTCTACTTCACCTCCAGACATTTGAGACACTATCCTGCAGCTTCAGCTTGGGTTGTCTGAGCTCACACTACCAACTTCCTAAAAAACTAGCTGAGCTCACTGCCTGATGACAAAGCAATTCCAGCTCTCAAACCTCCAGAGAACTCCTATGTTTTTATCAAAGAAAATGCACAAACACTTACTCTTAACATCTTGTGAATCTGAAAGTTAAAAGATTAACAATTCCAAAAAGGTGAATCAGCAATCAGAATTTGCTACACACATAATGTGTGTATGGCAAGTGTTTGCCAAGTAACAAAGAATGCTCTGGAAAAGGTTTCTAAGGTAATTATTATGCTGAGACAGTAACAGTGTTTCATCATCCCATAAACCAGTAACGGAATAACTTTTATACCTTGGGCTGCTCAGATTCCTCTTTTTTTGTATATCCTCTGATGAATTCATCCAGAAGGGATTGAAAGAGATTCAAAACCAGCTTGACTTCTTTCTCTTCTCTTTTTTGGGCCAGATTTGTAACTAGAAGCTGGTAATTTTCCACCAGATCTTTGTAGCCAACATGGATTTGTCCATTCTAGAGAAGGGAAAAATACTTTTAAGACAGTCTTTTTGGACAGTGTTGAGGCAATTTCATATTTTCGTGTGTTTAAGTTCAGAGGTGAGAAAGCACAGCCATGATCAAAGATAACAGCCCATGACAGAAATAAGTTCACAGACTTGTCTACTGCACTGTCCAACAGCACTTGGCTGAGACGAGGCAGTGTCAGAAGGACACTGGAAAAGCTGTTGGCATCTCTCATTGGTGTCTAAACACAGCAGCATTAAGAGGCTGAAGACAGCAAAATCCATCCATTTCTAAAAATAAATTTATGGCTGAGTGAATGTGAAAAGGGAAACAAAGAAATCTGCTTAAGATTACAGCAGAACTGTGAAATTAGTCTAGCATTCAGCTTTGAACTTTACGCTAAGAATTGCTGAACTGCTTTGTTAAAGAGCTGCAGGCCAAGCCTTTAACCTGCACACTCAACTCATTTATTGCCTGCCAACTTTCCTTTACTGAGACTTAACTACTTACAGGAGCAGAGTACATGGTCTTGATGTTTCCTCTAAACTTCTCTGTAGCTTCAAAAAACAAACACTCAACACCAGACTTCTGGGAGCGTAAGTCATTGATCTAGAAGACAAATAAACCTGCATCATACGTCATTAAAAGAAGAACACCCCACCAGAGTTGAGCTTCCATTCCAATTATTTAAAACAATGTTTCTTAATACACTGTGCTGATGATACAAAATAGGAGACTCGGGTAGTTCAGCTCTAGAGAAATATTTCCTTACAACTCATGCTTTTTTTTTTTTAATACAACTTTTGCAGCCCACTCATTTGTAAACAAATGAAGAACTAACATGAATGGCCTGAGTATTTAATGCAATATAATGCATTCAGAGACTTCAAGAACGGAATAGGAAGGGCCCTAATACAGACTTAACTTAGTCAAGACATCCAATCAATTCCACTTTGCTTTAAATTATAACAAAAATTTGCAGCTAGAAAAGTAGGCTCTAAAATTCCACAAAACCAGTGAACATAGATTTGAATTTTATCACGGTTGAGTTCCTCTTACCTTGTTGAGGAGGAACTCATCCAGGTGTTTCAGCTCATTGGCATTTGCAATCTCACGGACCATGGATGCTCGCCAGTTCTGGGACACGCTCGAGATTTTGCTGATCTTTATGGTCCTGTTCTTCTTTGCTTTGCTGATCTCCTTCACTGCCTGGGGGCGGCCTGGCTGCCCAGAAGAAGCTGGGAAAGAAATCAATTTGCACATTAAATCAGGGTGAATTCTGCAGTTTGTTTCCTCTATAGCCATGCAAAACCTCACAGAAAAGACAACAGCATGCTAAGGATTAAATCACACAAACTCACCTTCTGAAACTTTCTGAGTTCCTCCTGTGTCTGTAAAGAGGACACAAGATACAAGGGAGAGGCCATCTCCTTCCTCAATCATATCAGAGCTCTCCTTTGGAATTTTCTTGTCCGGCTTTTTCCCCAAAAGTCTACGCAAAGGACTTTTAAAAGCAGACCTGAACACAAAAGCAGATACAAGTGTGTCCCATTAGAAGTGGAAGCTGGTTCTGCTACAAGAACAGGCTCATATCAGTTACACACAACAGGATTAACCTGTATTAGGAACATTTTAGGTCCAACCTGCAGGAAAAATGAGCAGCACAAAAAAAGAAAGACAATGTGAAAGCACATCTGGACTTTCTGATATTTACTAGATTAGAGCACAATTTTCAGCACACACAGAGACAACACATCCCATATCCAGAACACCATTTCTGGCTCAGGAAGTCCCTGAGCTGCAGAGTGTCACAAGCTGGAGGAGAAGGCCGGGGAAGTGGCATGACATGCTTGCTGGGTTCTTCAGCTTTTCTCTCGGGGTTGTATTACACTACAAGAGCCTTTGATCTGAGCTGTAAATTGGTTCTTATTTTAAAAAGAATCAGTTCAAAGACAAGTGTTATGCAAGAAGCAGAGAAGCTGTTCCCCAGCAGGGTCAGATATCAGACCCACTGCAACATGAAGCAGTAACAGTCACTCCGGTAGCTGATGCCAACACATGTCTCTCCACAACTGCAGTCTCAAGATGCCCAATTCAAGCACAAGTGGAAAATATCCTTTTTTTCCCCATTTTCTCAAACACAGGCCAGTCACACACACAGCACATACTTGGCATCTCCCTGCTGACTTGCTGGTTGCACAGGAACAGCCATCTCCAAGGTAGGTAAGTGGTCACTGGGCTTCTTCTGTACAGGGTATTTCTTGGTGCCTTTTTCTTCTTCTATCGTATCTGGTGATTGCTACAGTAGAGAGGAGGCATCAAAAATTACATTGTGAGCGAAACAGATTGTCTAAATGGTTTTAAAAAATAGAATGGTAAAAAAAGTTTGCTTCATCAACGCAAAACACTTTAGCTAAAAATATTAGCATACTAATATAAGATCCAGGTATATTTAGTGCTTTAACCACAGATCCATTTATTTAAAATTAAGTTTTCAAACTCTTGTATAATATTTGCTAAAGATTTTTTTTACATGGATATCAAACAAAAAAAAAAAAAAAATTCAACCTGAAGGAACACAGGTACACAGAATACTACAGAATTGTTTACAATTCTTTAATATTTATAAGCAAGGATAACTAGGTATAAATATGCACAATAGCATCAGTACCTGATTCATGGCAACAGTCTGGGCCAGTGTTGAGAGATCACTTAATGAAGCTGAACTCCCCTTCTTCCTGCAATGTTACAGGATAAGTTTCCAAATATATATTTTAATTAAGTCTGTAGCCCCTTAATATTTAACAACTTTTAAATAACATACATATCGATGTTATATCTGAGACAGAATCTTGATCAGCTCTTGCAACTCACTTTTAAATGCAAAATTTACTGGACAAGTGAAAAAAGATGGGAATGTCAGATTTCCTGCCATATCAGAGGGATGATGGTTGCAAACTGCAGCTCACTAAAATTTTGTTTTCAGTGGATAAAAGACACATGAAAATACACTTCAGACTCTACTTCATCTAAAGCCCTGACTCTCCATTTTAATTCAGCCAGGCAGGCTTTGTATCTTTTGTGAGCTTCTGAAAACATTGTGCCAATACAGATTCCCTGCAGGACTAGGAGCCAAGGAAAAGCAGTTGTTCATAGCTCCATTTGCTCCCATAATATGGCCAGGCTCCCAGGAATTCTCCATCTATGTTTAAACATTCCAGATATCTGTTTTCTGTAAAGTAAATAAAAAGGAAGCTGCCCTTACTCCAGTTGATCCTGAGGAGACTTATCCACACGTGTCCTTCCATCCAAGGATTGACTCAGCACATCATTCTGACCAGCATCAGACTGTCTCTTGCCTTTCCACTTCTCCCTCTTGTACTTCAGCTTCTCTGGGTCATCCACATATCTCTGGATTGCAGAAGAAGTGGGACTATCCAGGTCTTTGGTTGCCCTCTGACCAAGACGTTTGTTTTTATCTGCCCAGGGGTCAGATGGACTCCGAAAGCTCCCAGTTGCTGACAACATGTTATGAAGATTCAGTGCAAGATTCGTGGGCCTTTCAGGGCAGGTAAAGCTTTGGCTGTCTTTTATTTGGTTACTCTGATTCCCTTGTGTTTTTGTTCTATCAGCTGCCACATCACCCTCTTCTGATACCGGTGGTTGCTCAGGAACAGAACCACTTTCCTTTATCTCACTTGATGGTGGTGTGTCTGGAAAGGCTTTTTCTTCACTTGGACTCTTCTCTTCCTCACTGCTTCCCTGAGGGACAGTATAATCTTGTGCTGTGGATTTCTCTGGCACTGGAACAGTTTCCAGGGCCTCTTCAGAAGTGGTTTGTTCCTCAAGGCACAGCAAAGATGGTCCTTCGAAGGACAACAGGACGTGCTTGTTCTGCAAGTCGTTGTGCTCCAGCCCCCTCTGCCGACGAGATTCCCTCTTCTCCCGGCTGGTGGTTACTTTCTCCGAGCCCTCTGTCGTGTTCTTCTGGAGTAATGTGGCTATCTCAGATGAGCTCAGGTTTTCAGATGAACCTAGGCTTTCAGCTTGTTCATTCTGAGCTCGATCTTCAGCTTGTTCATTCTGAG